TAAGTCATGTTAGATATTAATATTAATAAGAAAATAATATATGGAATCAATTTAATTTATCGGATAAAATTTACTGATATCATTTGAAAAATCTTTTCTTAATTTCAGAAGATATAGTTATTAGTGGTGAATGAAGTGTAGAGTTACATAATTACTTCAGTCTTAATTTATCAAACTTCTTTATTTTCAAAGCAATATTTTTGTTTTAATCAATCTATTAGTAAATCATAAACTTAATAAGTATCGCTCTGAAAAAGACAGGCATCATATAATGTCTCACATTTTCTGATTTTTCCAAGAACTTCATTATAACTTTTATCAGGAAGAGTTGGCTTTCATGTGAGTCTAAGATTTGATTAAATTTATCTTACAAGATATAGAATATCAACCCTAAACTAAAAACATCACAAATTGGATCATATCTTTTTCCATCTTTACAATCATTGACTTTTGACGATATAAATCCTGCAGTATCACAACGATTAAATAAAATGGCTTTGAGCTAATCCAAAATCAGCAATATAAAGGATTAAATATTGTTACCAATAATATAATAGAAATCCCTCAATTTTCTAATTAAAATATTTTCTGCCTTTAAATCTCTATGCATATATTTTTAGAATGCATATTTAAAAACATTTTAATTTAATCGAAATCAAATAATTATTATTACAATTCTAATATTTTATAACTATACTAAACTATCAAAAGTAATTAATTATTCAAATCTAATTCTAAATATAAGCACTTATAATTCAAATTAATTTTATTAATCCTTATTTTTTTCTTATCATACAATTAGCCAACTTCTAATAGATTAAGTACCATATAAAGAGAATTATCTGTTTCTTACATTTTATACAATTTATTTAGAGCATAACTATTATACTATCTCATTATATCAATTTCATTTAAAATTGACATCTAATTTAGTTATCATATATACTTTGTCCTTATCTTATTCTTAAGCTACTTCTTTGTAGAATGCTTTCATTGCAAAATTTCTTCCATCTTCCAAAGGGTCTGCAAAATATAGAGATGCAAAATTGATTTTACTAATTTTACTATGAGACTTGATATTCTCAAGAAATAATTTATAATTTTTAAGAATGTAAACTAAAGCATTTTATTTAAAGTAATATTTAAAATCATAAACCTTAAAATTAAAATTTAATTATTTGTATGAATTATATCAATTCTTTAATAAGTTTCTTTATGTATTTTATTTCATTATGCTTGTTCTAAAAATAGATGTTTACCTTTAAACAGATCCAAAAATTTAATCAGTTGAAATTCTATCATATTCATTTGAAAGATTTGGTGCATCATTTTTTAAAGCATAAATTCTAAATTAGAAATAAAAACCTACTTATATTGGATGATTTATCTAGCCTATTTTAACAAGAAATTTTTAATCAACAAGAATCTTTGTCTAATGACTTATCTTCGACTCTTATTACTTTTTAAGTATCTTAAACAAAATTAGTTTTTACGAATAATACTGGGAAATTAGTACTCTAAATAGACTTTAATTTCATCAATTTAGTCTTCTAATTTATTAAAATAAGCAAAAATTATTTTGAATATCACTTTAACAAAAAAATAAAAATTTAAGATTGCCAAGATGGTGTATGAAGGGATAACAATCTCCTAAATTTCTAAAGTTTATGCAGTATATATGGTTTAAGCCAAAATTATTGATATGCAACAGATTGATGTTTAAAGTGCATCAATCGAATTTAAATCACCTGTTTAGTAAGGTTTGTATTAATTTGTTAATTTTCCATATATAAGTAAAACAAAAAAAATTAAAGAAGCTTTGATTGCAACGTAATCCTCATAATAAATTAAGACATAAATTATAAATTCTTTTTACAATATTTTTATTGTTTCCCAATAGTAAGTATTTAATTTATATTCATTATATAAATAGCCCCATAATTTTCTGACTGTGGCTTAATTCAATCTATTTCTATGATAATAAACTATGAACCAAAAGAAAACAGGCAATAGGATACCAATAATGATAAAAGCTGGAATAGCAAAAGTGGATAACCAAATATAATGTACTGTTGTATCATATTAATAAGCAACGTTACCAGTAATCCATTTTAAATCAGATATAGTTCTATATGATAGTAAAGCAACCAAACCACTAATCAAATTAGGTGATAAATATATGTAGATATAAATAAGTGTTGTTGTTATGAAAGTCATACTCAATTACTATTTATTATAGATAAGAATAAGTAAATGCATTCCAATAAAAAGAAAAATATAGCATGCAATCATAAAAAAGCCCCATAAAATTCTAAAATAATGTATTGGAATTGTTGAAATTTGAGACAAATAACAGTCTAAAGAGAAGGACATAGTTTCTATTGGATTTCCTACTGATTTAAAAGTAAGCACTATTCCAATAGGAATAGATAATTGAAATGTTGAAATAGAACCAATAATTTGAAGATAATTTGTAAACACCTTAATTAATACAGACGTAGATGAGGATCTAAAAATTAAATACCTATCTATAGTTCTTAATTTAGTATATAATATAAATTCTTCAATCATTTTTATCGTGCTATTGACAGATAAAAACACAGATAAAACGGTCCAAATTAAAGCAAAAGCTATATTCACAATATTGCCAGCCATATCTTTACAACTAGAACAAGTATATGATTAACCCTAAGAAAATGATCCATTTCCCAGAGTGTCATATAAATCGCATTATTCGCAGAGTGCCCCTATATGGCCTAATGAACAAGATTTATCCCCTGTATACCATCCTCCTAAACAATTTAGTTTCAAATGATAGCATTCTTCTATCGTATTACTATAGTAGTAGGCTCTCCAGAATCCTTCTCTAAGTTCTATTTTTGCTGGTTGCAAGCTTTTCATATAAATATCATTTTTAAATTAACACTTTATAGCATCAATTGTGACAGAATATTAATTTTACGTAATGTCACATTCAATGCAACCTCCAGATGTCGAATTTAAATATTCTCCCAATTAACATTTGAAAGTTTTTAATTTTATTAGTAGAAAATAATCTGTGATAACATGTGTTTTTTCAAATGGAAATTCTTGATTATATTAAGGTACTTAAATTGAATCACATTAAATAATTAGGAGTAATTATAAATCTTAATCTTTCAAAGGATTAAAATATATAATTAGATCATTTAAATTATAATCTTGACTTGTTTCATTAAATTAAATCATTGTCTTAGATAAATATTTTTACGATATATCAAAATCTAATTAAATTTCCCTAAAATACTTTTCAGATTTAGTTGAGATTTCTTAAGCATAAATAGAACATATAGAACCATTCAAATTTTTCATTTATTCCCCTAAAGAATTAAAAGCCATAATTCTAAATGATAAATTGTAGTTTTAATATTCATTCGTTAAGTTGTTAAAATATTTATATTTAGATATACTAATTCCTGTAGGGAAATAGAGCTAAGTTGTTTACTAGGAATCTTGCAAAGTTTAATAAGGAGTTATCTAAACTTAATCTATTATTGTTGTCTAATTTCTAAATAAATTTGAGCTATTTTCAATAATTTAAGATCTTATTTAGGTCTTTAATAGACTAGGAGTTTCATAAGAGTTTTCACTTATATTAGCAGCGTTTGCTTTCAAAATTAAATTAAGTTTTTATGGATTTTATAATTGATCATTTTTTAAATAAAGCCCTCCTGCAATTGTTGCTTAATTATTCACAATTTCACTATTTATAATAGTGATATGTGTATTGTTAGCAAATACAAAAATACCTCCACCATATTTCTATGCAATATTAAATTTTATTTTGCAACTATCAAGTAGTATATTTACACTTGAAAAATAGCATGCACCACCATAATATGCAGTATTTTTTTAAAATATGCTATTTTAAATTTTCACCTGAAATTGATATATCTCCATAAATTCTAGCCTACTTAAATCTTATTAAGTTAAAATTCTGTTTGGTTCTAAGGAACTTAATGAATTGTTTTCTATAGTTCTTAATATAGATAAACATCCTAAAGTACCACAAATATTATTCTACAAATTCATAGAGTTGATTTTCAGACTTAATTAAGTAAAACTAAAATCTTAGATTGAAATTAGTCCAAAATAACAGCCTGGACAGTTACATTAAGTAAATTAAATATCATCAAAAATAATATGATGAGATTTAGATAATTTTTTTAATTCAAAAAGACTCATGTTATTTTAAGATTAAAAATAAATTAAATTTTTATTACAATTTAATTAATTTGTAGTATTGTTTTCTTGAATGTTTACTGTAGGACTTAAAATAATTGTAGAGGCATTAATTGGACATAATAGTTTATTTTATTCTTAAATTTTTCCTGGAGTACAGTTCAAGTTTTAATCAAATTGAAATTATTAGACAGAATTTACATATAAATTCTGAACAATTAATTAAGCAGTTATATCTAAAAATTATTATATAATATACCTTCCCTTAAAATAATTCTAAAAATTGGTGATTTAAATATTGTAGTGTTTGAGATATGTATATTGATTAGATTAACATTTATTCCATTTTAAATCTGGATTAAAAAAGAAAGATGAATAGAATAAAATTTAGTGTTGAGCATGCTAAAATTACTAAATTATGCATAAATTGAGGGATTATTACTTTAAAAAGGTTGAACATCTTAAATAGAAATGTCTGAAATTTTTGATAAATAATTATTGAACTCTAATTCGTTACTTTAAAAAAAAGAGTTATTTATAAGTATATTAGAACTTAATGAAGATAATTTGTATGGGTAATAAGATAATATTGCATGTTATAAAGAGAAAGCATTTTGAATAGAGAGATTATTAAAGTTTATTTCATTAAATGTTCTTGATGCTTCTATATAGATAGCACCACCTTAAGTTCGAGAATATGCCCTTTATATGATTGAATCAGAAATCTATAGAATTAGTCTGCTCTTTGATGCATCTATGTATAATGTGCCTCCAGATGAAAATTAATTACCATCTAGTAATGTTGATGTATTTTCAAAAGTTGAATTCTAAATTTAGAGGATACCTACTGATTTAATTACAATATAAAATGCTCCACCATTGACTGCCAAAGAATTAATAACATTTATTTCTGAGATTATTAATTTATTTATATAAAATAATCCACTTCCTCCTATGCTAAAAGTTACTAAAATATTTGACATTATTTTTTCTTGATCAATTTAAAATTTATCAAAAAGGATATATTACTAAACCAACCTGAAATTAGGTCTATTTTAATCTATAAATTAACATTTAATTAATGTTAGATTATCTGTTTTTATAAATAAGTTTGAATCTGATGAATTTAAAACCATATTTGATAAAAACCTTACATTTTCAAAAATAACTTAACCAACTTATAAATCTATAAACATAGTAGATGATGAATGTAACTATGGATCATCTTCAAATTTATTTATCAAATTGTCTTTAAATGTTACATTTCTTACCTCAATTTAAGTATTGAGGGAAGCTTAAATTGAAATTATTGATGAAATTCTATTGAATTAAGTGATAATTAAATTATTATTTTCAAAAATGGAATTTTAAACATATATCTTGTCAAATTCATTTTAATCACTAAAGCGTTCACCAATTATTTATATAAAAGGGTAATCAATAATTACATTATTCAAAATATTTATTGAATCTAAAATTACCTAATTAAAAGATTGAATAAAAATAATATAAGGTAAATCAAGACTATAAAATTATTTAACACAATTAATAGAAGTATGAATCAATTTTAATTTTAAAGAAGGGTTAATTATTATATTTAAATTAACAATTGAAATATACTTAGAGTTCATAATTGTTAATTCAGGATAACCTAATCCTCTTATAATTTTCAGATCACTAAGATAACAATAAGTACATTCTATGTACATTTAAGAAATCTAACTTGTAGCAAAATTATAAGCAAGTTTACCAATCTAAATATTATGAAAATAGTTTTGATTAAATTCAAACTTTTTAATACTCAAACTTATATTTTAAACTTAATCTTATACTATATAAATGAATTAGTTTTCTTTAAAATACTAATTATTTGAAAAGTTTATGTCTTCTATTGATAAAAATTCAGAATGATATCTAACTTATAATGACTCACTAAATTTTCCTTTGTTAGTTATAATGTATCCCTTTTAAATAATACTATGTTGTAATTTTAATTAATAAATTTCAAAAGTGTTGGCTATTAAAAATGATGATGAGTCTAAAAATCTTACATTAAAAAGAGTAAAATTTTTTAAACTTAATCTCTAGGATGATAGAAGTATTAAAAAAGTTGAAGAATTTTAAAATGTCACATCTTTCAATAAAAAGTCCTCAAGCTATACAATCCCAATGTCATAGTTTTGATCATAATTTGAATTAATAAAACTAGAATTATTTGAAAAAAAGGTATTCTGAATTGTTACTTATTTAAATGTAATAGTGCAATTAAGTGAATTATGTTTTGCATAATATTTAAAAACTGTAACATTACTAAATAAATTATTCTAAATTGTAAGGTTTTCAACATAGAAAGTTGAATCTTCAAAGTCTGAAAAAGGTTCATAATTTAAGAATAGAGAATTACTAATGTTTAAAGTTAGTTCAACATTTATAAATTGAATACTTTTTGGTCGATTACAAATTATATAGAATTCTAAGTTATAATTGAAAGGATATTGAAAGAAATTTACATTTTTTAATTTCACTGACATAGGATAATGATCATTTTCAAAATACAATTTAAAAGTAATGTTATTTTCCTATTCTTATTTAATGGGTATAGGGGCATAAAAATTTATATCCTCAAAAACTATTTTATCAAAATTAAAAAAGGTTAATTAATCTTCGCATTTAAAAGGGATTTTTGTATCTTCACCTATTAATTTGAGATTTACATATTTTAATAAAAATACTCTTTCCTTTAATCTGTTACTCAAACCTCCACTTTACCCTAATTACCAATATTCAGAGTTTTTTGTATTTTAGAGATAATAGTTAATATTAATTTCTTCTATTAATTCTTAATTACAATATTCTAAAAATTAAGATTCTTCAAATCTACTCCAATCGTCTATTGTCATAATAGTTTAAAAATCTACATATCTATCAAGCAAAGTTTGATTGGTTTCCAACTTTCTTGCATCATTTAAATTTTTTCTAGTTCTAAATACTTTAAAAATGACATCAATAGCTTTGGAACACTTCTATAAATTTTGACAAGATTGAATTGCTAAAATGTTAGGGTGAATGTAAATATTGCTAGTTCCTTTATTTTGAATTCGATAACATTTAAAAGTATATTTTCGATAATCAGAAGTGTTATCAAAAAACTTATTTATTGAGGCAATTTCTTCAATATGTCTAAAATAACAAGCCTAACAATATTTTGGACAAGTTTCACATTGATTATATAATTAATTTATATATTCAAATTTAAAACTTCTTACACTGTTAAATAAATTTGATTAGCATTTGTAACAATGACTTCTATAAATAGACCTACCATAATCCACGATTCTACAATCTTAACAATTCTCAGAACAACCTTAAACGCATTCTTAGTTATATAATATTTCGTTGTTCTTACAACTTAAACAAATTATTTCTTAAAAATCAAGATCAAAATTAACTGCATAATTTTCAAATGGATGTTAACCATTTTAATTAACAAAATGTAAATAAAATGCTTTTATTTACTATTTCCAATAGTCATTTTTTCCAATATTTTATTAAGCACATGTTTTACATGAAGAAGGACATTATTTACATAATCCAGTAATAATATTTGAATAGTATCCTTCTTAACATACAATACAGAGTGAATTTATCGCAAAATTATAGTTATTGATGCATTCTTAACATAATAGAGAATCTTCACAATTAGTAGTTTAAATAGAATTTGTTAATGACTTACTTTTTAAACAAGTGATACTTTGACTTTAAGGCAAACTTACTCCAACTTCACACAATTACATATTATCATTAAATTATTCACATTTATTGGTATCAAATGAATAATAATATCCATTGTAACATTGAGCACATCCTATATGAACTTCATACATATCTAATTAAATATAATCTCTATTTATATCTATTGAGATAATTAGATTATTATTATCTTAATAAATATATTCAAAGCAGTATTAGCAATTTTTAATTGAACAAAAACCACAATTTATGCCATCTAAGCTTAAATAATATTTTTCATTATCAATACAATAAAAACATTAATCTTAATTACATTATTAACAATACTATCCACAATCCATGCATTTTTCCTAACCTAAATATTACCTTGGAAGACATTCAACTTGGTTTACACAAAATTCAACACCTTTTTCAAAATAACAATCTTAACATATTTGACATTTTTAGCAAGTTCCATCATTTGTTTTAAAATAACCTTGAAGACAAACAGAGCAATAATTTATACTAAAACAATTAAAACACCCATCTATACAAATTTAACAAAAGCCTTGTGAATTCATAAAGTATCCGGATTTGCAATAACCATCTCCTAAATATCCTTCAATAATTGTTAAGGAATAGTCATTTTGATTAATTAAATTTATTTTATATCTATATAATATTAATTTTTGTACATTTATATTTTACTAACATCTCTCTAATTTTAATAAAATGGAGAATAATCAAACTTAGATATAAAATCATAAGAGCATTTAAGTTAAAGATGAAAATTAGTTTGATCAAGATAGCATTCTCCACAAAATAATTAGTTTGATTATATATCATTTGAAAATTAAGGACTTATATAAGTAAATCAATACCATTTTAAGCATTAATTATTATGTGGAAAGTAGCCGAATTCACAAATCACCTAAAACTCATCACACTAATAAAATCCGGTATTTTCACAAATTATTTCTTTGACTTGTAATACTAAGGCTCCATTAATTTAATTTAATGCTATAATTTTATTATGATATACTTAAACAGGAAGGATTTCCATAAACATCAATATAACCAACTTGACAAGAACAAGTATTATCATTTGGTGAGAATATTCTATTAGAGTCCATTGGGCAACTCAAACAATCAAATTCAGATAGCCCTTTGCAAGTTTAACAATTATAATAACAACTTATTTCTAATTTAGATTCAAAGTATTTTTCACAATAAGAAATTATTTTCCAATCGCTTAATTATCCTTTAAAATTGTTAGCAGAATAATCATCTCCTCCAATATAAAAATATAAGTTTACACTTGAAAAGTGATGAACTTAATTATTCCATTTGCATTCGATAAATTAATCATTTATAGGAAAATATACGCGATAAATAGGTTTCCCTTCATTAATAGAAGATCCTTCTTCATACTAAATAAAATGCCATTCAGTTAATTAATCACTTAAAGAACTATCTAAGATAGTAAAAGTTTCATCTTCTTTTGTTTAATGAGTTGTTGTATAAGGAAAGGAATAACTATAAGTTTAAGCTGTAAATCCATTAAATCTTACTATTTTATTTTGATGATACATGACATATAACAATTTATCACCAATTTGATAATCATTAGAGTTATGCCCATTTATTGTTATTCTCATTAGTAAACTATCCAATTTTCCTTCTACATCTTATTTATCTTATTTAACCCAACCAAAAAATTTAAATGTATTCTAATCTGTGAACATAGAAGAAAGATATTTCAAAAAATAATTATCATACCGTAATTCTATATCAAAAACAAACTGATGATATTATTCTAAGCAATTTAGTTAAATATAACATATTAATTTAAAATAATTTAAATCTAATAAGATATTATTAGATGTATTTTCTACTTATTTAATAATTCCTGGAAAAGGGTATGTGATTATATTTTATCCAGATATTTAAATGTTTAAAAAAGATCTAATTTAAGTTGAGATAGAATCTGTATTTTGAATTTGAATGACTGAATCAAAAGTTTCTTAATAAAGTGAATCAAGATTAGATTGATAATAATATAAAGACAATTGATTGTTCTGATAATGATTATAAAAATAAAAGAAAATCCAAACTCCTTCAAAATTGAAAATATCAATAGGAATTGCTTTTTTTATTATTGATTACTGTGCGTATATATATATTATTAATTAAATGGTTTTTTCCATCTTATTTAGTTATATGAAAATGAATAGTAATTATGAATCATCTGAAATTCGTTTTAATGAGTACAAAAAGTAATTAATAATGACTAAGCTAAATTATTCATCAGTTATCTCTAATAAATGTTACAAATCACTTTTACATGTTAAATAGTCTTATTTGTAAGGAAGATATTGAAACCAAAATCCCTAACCAAATGACACATACTAATTCTCATCTTAAAAATTCCAATTCTAATCAATTTTATATAAATTATCTTAATCCCATAGATTCCATTCATTATAAATGCATTAAGTACCTTATGGAAGAATATTACTACTATCATTATTATACATACTTTAGTAAGCTGATAAAAATTAATGCTTTTAACTTAAGCATAAAATATATTTATTCAATTAGAAATAAAAATATTAAAAGATTTGTAAATATGTGATATATATATGTTTTTTGGCTAAATTCTAAATATTCTAATGTAATGATTTTCAAAAACCAAAAACCAAAAATAAATTTTT